TCTCACCGAGTTTTAAGACGACTTTATCAGCATCCGACAGAAGGATGTTTGGCCAATTTCATCTATGAGTGCATGGCATTTGCGTACAAAAACTTACCCAGTAACCAGAAGCCATGCACTCGTAAAGTTTTAGCACCAACCCCTTGCCTGAAATGTTTACAAGTGCACCAACGTAGAAATAAGAAGACACTGCTTATGGGACAGTGCGGAAAAATGTTGTACTATACATCTATGCCCACCCAATTTCATCAACCTGTACGGACCAGTATAGTGATTTAAATCAGATGACCCCCAACAACTGCATGGCTTGGGAAGGCCCTCATCCAGCAGTGGATTGACAACAAGGCTGTACATGTGCATGGAATACGGGATGAAACCGGAGTACCGGAAAAAAAAACTCATGCATATGATGGGAAAACACTCTAAAGTTCTGCACAGATAGATTTAAAAAATCCGTTGCTCGACTGCCATCTCCCGGTCATGCACTTCACAGCCCAAGCAGGCTCTCATCCAAGCACTAACCAGGCTCAAACATGCTTAGCTTCCGAGATCTGATAAGATCAGCTGAGATGGTCATGGGTGTGTCTTCCAGCCAAGGACTCACCAAGGAGTGGGCTTGTACTACTGAGAAGTTGATGCAGTAAATCGGAAGCATGCGTTAATAACAATAAGCAGCTGCAGCATAATCATTGGGATGTTCTGCCAAGTATAGCACCAGGGGGATTTCTCATGAGCGGCAGTGGGCAGTGGAGAAACAAAAATCCATCATCGTACTGTACTTCTTTGCTCCCACACCTATGCTCCACATTTTCACCGACCCACAGAGACCATGTGGCGAAGTCTGGTCAAATAACCCCCACGCCCCCGCATGGCATGAGTAGGCACTCATCCAGCAGTGAATAGGCAAATGGCTGTACAGCAACATTAACAAAATCTAGAAATAATGCAGCTAGTCTCGTGCCGTGTATTTTATTTGTTCCAAAGTACAAATCATGTAAACACAGAGTTGATCTAAGTATTGCACTGCGAGTCCATTTGTTTTAATTAAGCTTCTCTTTGCCCACGGCTGAAACCGCCGAGTAAAATGCGTAAAGTATACAACACAAATTAGGTTGAAGTTGAAATACACTACTTGATATAATTTCATATGAAGCAATGACTGATAATCCAGCACTTCCTGATTCACTCCAGCCAATGATTCACCTGCGGTCCATCACCTCCCTATCACTCTCCTTTTGCTCCTACCAAGGTAATTTCTCCCATGAGCATCACTCATTGATTCCTCCACCCACGTTGAGAGCGCCAATCTACCAGACTGTTTTGTCTTATCCCCGCGGTGTTCGACCACCACCATCAACGCTGCAGGTCACAACGATCCTCTTTCTGCTTCTTCCTTCACACTGCTCCACTTTGGAATCCTCTCCCATCGTCTCCTTTTAAAAGCTCTTTGAACCTCGCTCCTTTCAAGAAACATGTTAACCCTTATCTGTTATTATACACCGTACTTAAATAGGGCTGTTTGTTGATGGCCACTTGTAATTTTGGGGCTTTGCTCAACAACCGTGCCAAAACAATTATTTGGAATAAGCAGTTATTTCCAATTCCTACCATGAGAATAACCATTCTGCTGAAACGCACTCTCATGTGGAGGAGAAAAACAACACCTGACTCACAACCACAAGAATCAGGAATTTTGAATAAATCAAGCGAGAGTATTAAATTACATGCATGGTCACACCATACCCACTTGAAATGCCTTCGTGGTCTTTCTTGACTATTTGAATGTGTGCGCAAATGCTTGAATCATAGCTGTCTGTGTGCCTTGTGTCTATGTGGCGTGGTGGTTAGTGATGCGCGATTAACCATCCGAATTCGATTCCCGGCCACTGATAACCACGCATCAGTTGCGACCGAAATGAGTACCTGTAAACAACAGCACTAGGGAGACAAAGGCGGTCGTTTTTCTGTCTGAATTGCCCACCTGCGCGCTTGGCCAACCTTCACAGGTCTTCACCAAAATTTGGATTTAGGATTTTTAAGGACAATTAGAGATATTTTTTTTTTATTTGTCGGATTAATCTGAATATCGGGAACACATCCCAAAATTTGGGTTGTGGGCATTAGGCATGTTATGATGCATTAATTGATCATTTAACACAGTATGTTATGATCTCGTATATTCATTGAATCAAGCATGCTAATGTTGATTACCTACAATATACGCAAATTATATGCTGAATATATCCTCATGTGTCAACTTAGGCAATCCGAGCATACACAACCGTGCAAACACATACGAGATAATACAAATTTAACTATTAAAGGAATGAACGCTGCAGTCCAGTCGTGGGCATGAATTATTATAAGCTACGTGGGTTACTGTCACTTTTTGCACGCGTTATTATCTAATGTAACTTGGCGTTCGAAGTTTGCCCCCACCATCGTCCAAAACGGGCGGGGCAGGTATGAAGATGCCAGAATTACCCGTGGAACTACGGTGACGGGCAGCGATGGGTCTTGCGAACTCTATTTGGCAAAAGTGCAACGCCATTCCGCGTGACACACGGCACACGTGTTAAGCCGCTGCCTTCCACCCAACCGAGTCATCTCTGCCACAACCGCACGCAATAAAGTGAAGCAAAAGCCGTCACACCGTGGCTGTAATGCACACGGCAGGTGCACTACCAGACCTGCATCCTCTGTGTAGTGCCAACCACGAGTACACCCTCAATATTACACGTGCGCACGCTTCATTCGCATGCAGTTTATAACGCATATTAACCCTTTCCCGTCCCGATGATGTACGTGTACGTCATCAGTTTTTCTTCCAATTCCATTCTGATGATGTATGGAACCGGAAGAAAAACTAAGATAAAATCAATCTTGACTTAAAGCTTTCGTGACTGCAGGAATTCATATTCTTTGGGTCTTTCGGTAAAGCCACGAAGATAGAAAAAATAATAAACATAGCACGGCGTTTCGATCGCAACGCAAGCAATCGTCATCTATGTGGCTTTACAGAAAGACCCAAAGAATATAAGATAAGTATAAATTTATCGGTAGCGAGGTTCCCACAAGGCCATGCGGAAGGGCGTGTGGCACAGTTTGGTACCAGCTATCATAAAGTACGGTCGCGTCGCTACGATTCTCATCGTCAGTGCAATGTCTTTAAAAACAACGGCGCTACGCCTCTCTAAATAAAATTAACGCCGAACCGTTTGCATGCTCTAAGATTCAGCGGTGAACGGCACCGACCCTGCACCTTGCAGTTGCCTCGGAACGGGAAAGGGTGAATGCGCATCCCCGATTACCAGTCTTCTTCCTGAGATTACCCCCACTCACATGGGGGTCTGCTTCCTCGCTCCTCTTTCTCCACAACATTCCTGTCCTGGGCCAATTCTCCACATCCACGCCACTGTCCTTCATCATCTGACTCACCGCTGCATGGCACCTCTGTCTGGGCCTGCCTCTCGGACTCCCCGCAGGATTATTTCATTTAGTTTCAGTGCAAATGAGCACATCATCCAAGTCATATAAAAATGAGCCATTGCCCAAAACGACACCTATTATATATGCGTGTGTGTAGACAAATATATATACGAATTATGTATCCATAATAGATGTTTTTTTTGGGTTAGATCACGATCTAACCAAAAAACAACCTCTATTATGGATGATATTGGTCGCGAAAGCCTACGTGTTAAACTATGTATGTATGTATGTTGAACATATTTTGCACCATATGTAGCCAACTGTGCCCGTCATATGTATATGTATATATTTGACAGGCATGTAATTGACGATTGTGTCGGGTTTTGCAATATCTGTGCTCATGCACTACCGCCAATGCATTATCACAAAATAATGTTAAACGTGTGGGTTATGAGCCCCGCAAATTGCAACGATTAGAAAGGCGTTCCGCAAGCTTTTAGTTGAGCGACCTGCAGTTGACAAACTTCGAAGTAACATTTATTGCAGTGGAAGTGCAGAGCAAAGCACAAAAAAACGAGACGATAAAAATGTTACGTGTTTACCAATAGTGCAATGATCCTCTAAGCACGAAATCAAATATCGTATCATAGCATCACGGTATATTGCAGCAGCCAGAGTAGCCAATTCGGGGGCTGCAGCTATGGCTCATAGTGCTGCTAGGGACGAGCGAGAACAAGCTCAGCACTGGCAAATTTTAATGAACCACTAAATACTCACCTTGTGAGAGCTTAGTGGTCACATCAGTTGTCAGTCAGTGTGCACGGGTCAAAGTAATCAAGCCGAGCGACTGTCAAAATTACTCTTTGTGGCATTAAAATGCCATAATTTGGTTTGGGTGGATGGGTGCCAGGAGTGAAATGGATTCTTAAAATGTGGGATTTCAACACGTTAAAAGGTCAATCCGAAATGTGCCATTTGGTTGCTATCCAACTATAGAAAGAGGCACAGAATATTAAATTACCAGAGAAGAGGTATAGAATATGCAAGTACACAGAGGAAGAAAATCAAAACAGCTGACCCCCCACGCATGAGTGGGACATTTGGTTTCAGAATTAGAATCTTTATTTATCTTGGAGAAATCCGATGAGCTATGAAGCTCTTTTCCACAGGTATCCAGGCTGAGATGAAGAAGAGACTGCACGTTATAGTGGAGCACCGTACCTGGAATGGGCTTTTTATATAAACTTATTAATTTAATGATTATACTTGGTGACCGTGACGATGGAATCACATGAACAAGCGTAACATAACCACAACAATTTTACTCAACTTCCCACAAGGCGGCAATTGCCCCTCCCCCCCCTGAAATTCACCGATGAACGAACATCGACACGGAATTGCAAATTAATATGGCAACCGCAACAAGAATGTGATTAAAAATATATATTTTAAATGAATCATTTGCACATCTGATAGGACTGTGTGACAACCAGCCGCATCCTGCCGTGTCTGCTTCGTCTGAGTGGTCCATGAAAACCAGATAAGGATGAAACGTGGACGTGACTCACCCAGTGCCCCTGTGTAGGTTGGCTGAGTCAGATCCTTTGGAACCTTACGGTAAATGTCCAACCTAAAAGAGAGTGGGGGTGAGAATGGATTTGTAATCGATATACAGAACAACGATAGCACTAAACATGCTTATGTGTTACCATGTTCTCCAGATTATAAGACACGTTCCTCCTGGATATTGTATGTTGAACTTCTTTCGCGCCGTACGTAGCCAACCGTGCTCATCGGAGGTGCGGGGGAAGGACAGAAGCAAGACTGTGCGAAATATTTGTTGCCACCCAGTCCACGTCCATCAGCCGTAGCACACGTGCGGCCAGATTTTAATAACTTTGGTGGCACCAAGTACAGTCAACAAATGTATTGCCACTAGAAACTTCTCCTGTTGCCATATTCTCCAGATTACAAAAATTGTTTTTCTTACAAGCGTCCACCCTATCTATTTTATTACTTTCTATTTTACAACCTTGTTGAAAACTTTGCCAGAGCGTCGTATTTTCAAGGTTTTTTTTTTATGAATTAGAAGTTTGGGATCCACATTTCTTCCTGGAGAATCTTATCATTCGGAGGGTACGGTATTTTGTGATAAATGGACGAGTCGGTGCGATTTTCATTGCATAAATGAACCCCTTCTCATTATGTGTCCAAGGAATTAAGTAAATTAACTGCCCACCTGTTGTGCTGGCCCATTTATGCGCAAGTGCAAAGTGCGTTAATGATATCAACGCAATCAGAGCAGACGTGCACAGCCAGGCAAGCACAGTTTGTTTTTTTGCGAGCGTGGAAATGTCACGTTAGCAGTCACAACACATTGCACGCGAGCAAGGCCATTTGCCTAACGTGTTTACCAAAACAAGATACCGACTCCCAACCGAACGCACAGTCAGGACCGTTGCCAAACGTGAGTTGTGCCATGACACAGACTGAAATCACGCCAGTAACCATCACCACTGATGACACACCAGACGAACTAAAGTACGATGTCACAAACTAATGTTTTTTTTCATTTTACAGAGATCCCCAATTAATTGCATTCGTCATACTTCTAACGGCAAAAATATATTCCGACTAGCAATTAAGGAGATATTTTGAACACTCCATCTAAATATGTATTTATTCTCTTACCCAACATTTCGGCTGATGACCAGATCATCTGGAATGCGCCTGATCGCGTGAGACCTCGGAAGCAAAGCAGGGCCGAGTCTGGATAGTACTTGGATGGGCATCCACCACGCTTAACATTATTGTAGGCTGCTGTGGAGCTCCATGTGGAGCAGTAGAAGGCAGTGGAGCAAAATCCATTGTTTACTGTATTTGTATGCTCCCAATTCTAAATCTATGCTCCTCACTAACCGGCGCTGACCAGCGTGGTGAAGTATGGGCGAATAACCACCTCAACAAAGCCAACACGTCATGGGTAGGCCCTCATCCAGCAGTGGATTGACAAGTGGTTGTACAGGTACATGTGTACTGTATTGTGTTTTCCGTTAGAGACGTGGACAACATGGATAGTTGTTCAATGGGACACCTTCGCGTGGCCATATCGCAAAATTAATAAATGAATGAATCCTTAAATTTACAACGGGCGCAAATTGCACTTCAAACGGACAGGGGAGCGGCGAGGGAATGGATTGGAAAGAAAGTCTTCAGATTTCCGACACGTGTGGTGGCACTGATGCCGATGTGCGGCGCCGATGTACCAGGAGTGAATTCCAGGCGACCAGAGTGGCAACAGAGAAGTGACGACGTTGCCTCGTCTGGGCGCGAGAGACGAGGCTTAAGGAGGTCACTTGAGGCAGACCGGAGGTCGCGAGATGGTACGTACAACAATCATGGTGCAAGAAGAAAAAAAAAAACCTTGGCGTCAATATACGGTAAAGTTATTTCCGTTTTATTTTCACGTTTGACATTTTATGGGGAAGAATGGTTATCTAAAAAGTCACGGGTACAATATATCAGGAGCAGAGAAGATGGGATTTAATTTTGGCCACCGTAAAAGTTATTTACAGTTTTCTGAAATGAGTATTTTTCACCGCCCGATTGAACATAAATCAGTAAATGGCACGTGGCACCACGGCATCAACAGAAGCGCGCTGCACTGTCGCATCTTGGCTGGGCATCCTTGCTAAATATTTTAAATCAATAAATCACAAACTAAATAAATCAAATCCCAAACAATGATGTTGTGCCCTCTCATTTCTCAATTCTCTGGCACTGTCAGTCTCCATATCAAAAAAGCAAGTTGTCTTGTGTGTGTTTGCACAAGACGAATGTATAAATTAGCAATTATTAAACTAGTTTTGTGCTGGAGCGATAGTTGGGTTGGCTACGTATGTTGCAAAAGAAGTTCAACATACATACCTACAGTGTTTATTTTATACATTAAACAACGCAAACACAGAAACACAGAACCAGGATACAAAGGGTTGCTTGTGTCCGGTATTGACGAATGAAGGTAAAAACCGTGGCACATTGGCTAGCACACTGCGCTGTAAACCTTGCTACCAGAGTTCGTTCCCTGTCATGGCTAGCACACGTGGCGAGCGATATCTGAACCGGTCCTGGACCCCCACTTCACCAACCTGCACTGATCAGCGTGGTGAAGTATGATCAGAAAACCCCCACGGTGCACACGGAAAGTTGGAGGCCTTCACATTGCAGTAGATTGACAAGGGGCCGTTACATAATGTATTCACTATTATTTAGTGATGGTGGCATGTAAACTAATAATGTAAACTACTCATTTTATTTTACGAACTAATGCCCACTGAGCTATATTTCTGTAGTTCTTTTTTCAGAAGCAACCTGGCCACAAATGATAGCTCAACGAAGTGGCTTATCACGTAAAAATTTCTAGCAGCCAAATACTGCAGGACATGCATTCCTATACATGCACGAAAATGTTGGTCTCGTGGTTACTTCTTTATGTGTTGGCTGTAATGTGATGCCAGGGGCGACGCTTTGTGTAAACATGCTCAGCTTCTTTAATAAAAGTAAGTGGTTATCCTGAATTATGAGACCATACTAATGAAAAAATATATATTGCTCCTGGTATGTTTTTGGGCTGTACCGCGTATCGTTCGGCACGATGTCTGACGTTTCGCTCTATGAGCTGGGAGCTTCTTCAGGAACTGCATGGAGCAGCTCGCATTTCTCCAGCAACTATAGAAAGTTGCTGGTTGCTGCTGGTGTTTGCTAGCTGCTGCAGATGGTATTTAGCTATTTATTAGCTTATTTATATGCAGCCTTTTGTCAACCCATTGGTGGATAAAATAATGTAGGCACGATGTCAATCATGGGAGTTGTTTGATCATACCTCACCAAGCTGGTCAGTGCAGAATGGTGATGTTTGGTGCCAGGACTAGTTCAAATATCACTTGCCACTGACTGATGTTAGCTGTGGCCAGGAATCCAACTCAGGTTGCCAAGTTCATTGCACATTTCGCGACCCACTGTGCACCCAATGCTTCAGCCCAAGGTGTTAAATTTGGAAAGAAAGAAAACCATCTGAGTAAAAAAAAAAATACATTTGCTGTGGGTTGCATTCGCCGTTTAATTTATACAGAAGCTACATTTGTATGCAAGTGATAAAGAGAAACCCTTTAATCAAGTTAAATGGCAATCACTACCTGGAAATGTAATGGGGGGAAAAAAAACCTATTCCAAACACAGTATCATGGAGCCGCACTTTCTCGCACACACTAGTTTCTTATCAGAGCAAAAAGTCTCATCCTTGAACATACAGGCTCTGTGCCAGTGTGATAAGACACTGAAGATAACATCTGATAGAAGGCACTGCATTTACAAAATCCTATACGGCAATTGAGCATGCCTATGACCAAATCACCCACAACGTACCCGATCTCATCAGATCGCGGAAGCTAAGTGAAATTGGGGCTTGGATAGTGACCACCGTGCAGCAAAATATATTGTTGTACTGTCCTTCTATGTCCTCACGTCTACCGCTCCCTGCATTCGCTAAACTGCACTGACTAGCAGAGTGAAGTACGGTCCAATAACCTCAATGACCCACACAGCATGGAAAGGCCCTGGTGGTCTAGCAGTGGATTGAAAAAAATGGATGTGCATTTACAAATAATGTATTTGCATAAGGAAGCATGTAAACAAATGAGTGCCCTCATGTGTTTTTTTTCTCTTCTGAACAGTGAATTCCAGTCAAACAGCCGTCCAATTTGATTTGTACAAACCCATCCGCAACCCATCTGGAAATAATGTGGAGAGGAGTATATACAAATAAATACAATGTATTTCTTGTTCAGCAGTTGTGATAACAGTCTTGCGAGTTTGCTATGACCCCGAAGTTTACCAGTGACCCTGGTTGTTTCACCAGCTGAGTCTGCAGCGAAGTATGCGTCTCTGGCATGTGCCTACGGATTATGGGCACTCAGAGTGTTGGTTGTACGTTGCAAATTAGACAAAACAGAAAGCCAGTTATCGCCATATTGATGACACAAGTTTGCTTCAAGCTAAGCCCTCTGTGTGTAAAAGCCATTGGCGGCTCCGTGGTTGAATGCACACTGCGTTATGAATTCCCACAACCGGGGTTCAATTCCAGGCTACGGCTCGCATCAGTGGCAAGTGATTGCTAGAAGAAGAAAAAAAAACCTCGTGGTCGAAACAATCCCCCATGACTGACACGGCATGAGGAGGCCCTCGTCTCGCAGTGGATTGAAGAAAAGGGGGCTTTGGGTATAAACTATGAAACAAGAAGACGCAACGCCAACATCCCTATAGGTCAGAAAAGTGAAAGAATAGCATATTACTGTACTCTCTGCCTGCCCAAAGGGAGGGGTACACGTTCAGTTGTTAGCCAATCACCAAGTGCCACACAGCACTGGGCAAACAAGCACTGCAATTGCATAAACACACCAAATCTACCGGTTGTACAAGTGAGATATTTGCTGCAGTTACTGTATTATAGTTTGTTTAAATGCTACAAATACCTGCATTTCGTGTTTAACGCTGATTTAGTTCGAGGTACTGTAAACACACATGCCCTCCTAAAGCAATGTAAATACCACGAGAAATTATCGAATTGGCGATTGTGATCGGATAATTTGGCACAGTGATTATGATAATCGGAATTACTTATAGCATACTCTTAGTTCTTTCGGTAAAGTCAAATCTGGCTGTGACGGTCCCACCTGATGACGGAGACTTGTGTTGCCTCCGAAACGTCGTGATTTTTTTTTATTCATTTTTATTTCATTTTTTACCTACGTGACTTTACCGAAAGAACTAAGAGTGTGAATCCTTGCAGTCACGAAAGCTTCAAATCTAGAATTACTTATAGCAATTCGAGACAAAGTCATGTATGCTGCTACCCACAGGGTTGGACGTTGATAGGAACGTTTAGAACAGGGCACGCATATTGGGTTTTGTATGCGTGTCGGCAGTCACGATTTTGCTTTTAAGTCTGCGGAGTAGACACGGATCTTCCAGACACACAAAACAGAGGCCAGGGGTCATAAAGCTGTTTGAGTGTATTAATTATAGATGCCAGGCCCCGGGGTCACCCTCTTAGGAGCAATTATAATTGACGTATAACACTGCGGTATTGTGTTTAAGACATAGGTGTGATTAAAGAGAACGGGGGAGCAGTTTTGTTGTACAACGCAAGCGCAATGCTCCTTGGTAGAAGCCGAGATTATTGTTCACGAAATGTTTGGATCTTACGTCTTATAACCACCATACTTGATGCCATGTAGTTCACAAGGATATTGCTAATTGTCATGGTCAATCTACCGTTGGATCAAGGTATTTCTCAAGTCGCCACAGTATAATATTGACTTAAAGCTTTTGTGACTGCAGGAATTCATATTCTTTGAGTCTCAGTTTTTTGTTATTTTCTTTCAACCTATCTACGTGACTTTACCGAAAGACCAAAAGAATAGTATATTGATTATATTGACTAATTTTGCGTTATTGTTTCCTAATGACGGTCACGGTATCATCATGAAGTTACACAAGAGTTGCGAGTTGTAAAGCAAGCAGTCATAAAGTAAACAATGTTTCATTCATCAACAACGTATCACACAGATTAAGACGTAGGCTTTCGCGACCAATATTATCCATAAGATGTGTTTTTGGGGCGTTAGATCACGTAAATATAAATGTGTCGTTAAACCCGTCACCACCCGACACAGCCAATTCGTAAGGTTTCTCACGTGAACGAAACGTGCCAATCAGTTACTAGTTCAGCACCCCCGGTGTGTTGGAGAATAAACCCACAACATTTATTTCTGGCTGTCGCCTGATTAGGCTGGTTGCAATTACCGGCAAAACGTCGCACTCGAATTGTAAATGTTCGTGGGTTTTTACTCTCCAACACACCGGGCGTGCTGAACTTAGTACAAACGAATTGGCAAATGTGTCGGATGGTGACGGGTTTAGCACGACACATTTATATTTACGTGAGCTAACGCTCCCCCCACCGCAATGAAAAAAACCCTCTCATAAACGCATCACAAACCTGTCAACCCCTTATCAGTGCCCCAGCTTATTACAGACCAATTCAGACATTACTGGCCACCCCGTGGCCTTTTAAATCTCAACGTCCATCCGAAAAATGTCCCATCACAAGGGAGACACACAAACATAAAGCCACGTTTTTTTAGCCCGTATTGAAACTCTATGTACCTGTACATGAATACTGGGTGAAACCGTGTGGGTCGACAGCTATGAGCCATCCCAACACTCAAGCGGTGCAAAAGAGGCAATAGGGCGAACGGTTTAGAGGGCCCTGCCAGAAATGCACTCGACGCTAATTGAAAACGCCACCACCACAACTTTTGGCCAAGAGGGCCCTCTTATATGGCAGCTGAACCAGTCTCAAAACAGCTGAAACACCTTCTGCGGAGATTAAAGCGGGCCATTAAAGTGGGTTAATGATCCTCAAATAACCATGCGGGTCTTCATTCACCTTCCAAAACACCCCCCACACACACCCACACACACACTTGCCCATCGCTCGTTCTAACCAAAAGTTGCCCCCCAATTTAAAGTGAACAGGGTGGTGGTGGGGATTGAAATCGCTGCGACAATTAACATCAGCCGAACGCACTATTGTTACAAACATCGCAGCACGAATATATCTGGTAGCGTGTCTGTGTGTGTGACTACCAGCGTGTATCTTATACTCAGACTGACCTTCGTACGTCAAAAGGCATGTTGTAAAAAGTCGCACACACCCACACAAACCAACTACCGGCTCGTCGATTTAACTCCTACAACGACTTTTACGCAGAAAGACGACGACGCTGACGATGATGATGGCGATGGCGAAGGCGGCGTTCGACTCGTGAAGCGTCAAAAGCGACGTGTAACTTTGTAACTGTGTAACTTTGTAACTGTGTAACTTTGTAACTGTGTAACTTTGTAACTGTGTAACTTTATAAGTGGTCGGCGCGTTCGCAACCCGGCGTTCCCGGCACGGGCGAGTGGATTTGCCAATGCACATAAGGCGCTGTGCACACTCCAAAAACCCTCATTGGGCAGAGCCGGGGTGTCACACACACACACACGGAGCTACGTGCTTGCTATTCAGGGGGGTGTGTGTGTTGGAAGGGGGTGGTTTGAGTCCGTTCGTCCAATCCCCATCGCTCTTAGCTGCTGCCTCTTGCCACTTATTCCGTGTGCGATTTGCAGTTTTTCAGCAATACCCCCCACCCCCATGTTCGCTTTGGATTGCCCTGCCTCCGTTGCAACTTGGGGTGGCTTTGGAAAGTCCTACGTTTAAAGTTGGGGTTGGGGGGGGTTTGAGCAAGCCAAGGCAGACGACGTCTTCCGCGTTCACGGCAGGACGTGGAGGTTGCCACGGGGCCACGTGTTCGCTTCCTCGTGAACACGTGGCCGCAGTAGCAGCAGCAGCGAAACTGTAGTAGGGTGGTGATTCACCCCTTTATAGATTCTAGATTTGAAGTTTTAGTGACTGCAAGGATTCATACTCTTAGTTTTTTTCGGTAAAGTCACGTAGGTAAAAAAAAAAATTATGAAAAATAAAAATTACCCTTTATAGATACCCCAGTGACTTGTGAATGATCACAGTTTTGCCAAGAAGCTTCATTTCTCGTGGAATATTTTTCAGGCCCCGGGCCACCCCACTTCACCAACCCGCCCCCCACAACCACCGATAATTGATTGGGGCTATGAAATATATGTTTTCATCCAGGAGATCTGGCCCGGACAGCTCCGGCTGAAATGAAATCCTGCTCTGAACTTTTTATTTTTATTCTCAACATGCGAATGAATTAAATTGTGTCAGCGATGGCTCCATATGTTACACAAGAGGGTGCTGAGAGATGCAATAATTGCATTGAAATTGGTGGGAGACATGAAGATGCTTTGAAATAAAATGTTCTCTCTGTAATGTCTCCATTCTATGTGTTGCAATATGCGCAGCTGATGCTTAAACATGCATCACAGCTTTGCCATAGTGAAGTGAAGGGATTGTTATTATTAAATGTTTTCATATACGATCAGTGCGTTTGGTGGTGAGGTGTTGTAGCAATAGTGAAGTGAAGGGATTGTTATTATTAAATGTTTTCATATAGATCAGTGCGTTTGGTGGTGAGGTGCTGTAGATGTTTTTGCGAGCACATTTGTCCACTTCTGGATGAAGAACGTCCCCACGCCGTTTCAGCTGCGGAGGTTATTTGAACATACTTCACCAGAGAAGACACAATTTACATGTTGGTGCCTTAAGAACTTAGACATATAGTGACCCCGCTGTGAAGAAGGGTAATTGCTCAAAATGTTACAGTATATAGATGTTACAAGATAGTTGAGATATTGGATGATAGTTACTGCATTATAGAAATCTCTGCCCTCTAATGAAGACGGGTAATTTAACAGCAAAAAACGATACCTTACTATTTTTATTTTGCCAGGTAAGGCCCATTGAACTATACAGCTCTTTTTCAGAAGCAACTTGGCCATACATGATAGCTCAACGATGTGGCTTATCAAGTGTAAATGTATAGTAGCAATATACTATAAACGCATGTTCATTCTAAATGTGAAGGGAAAAATTGGAGGACTTGGAGAAAAATCCACGCGACCACGGGGAGAACATGCAAACTCCAAATATACAGGTGTCAGGGTCGGGATCGAACCCACGACCCTCCTGGCAATGTAGTTAACATCTTGCCAACATGGCGCTCCTTTACCGCATTGTTAACCTATTATACTATTTTATTTTAAAACAGAGTTATTGGTACGTGGTATTTGGTGATGTTTTCTTGAATATGTGATAGTCAGGAGATGACAGTACAGAAAATTAGTTTGTGAACTCCTATTTATGGATATTTAAATGGTATCTCTTCATATGCAATGGATTTATCCCATATATGCAACATGATTATTTTAAAAAGGAGTGGTCCCAACATACCAATGCAGAACCATCCTAAAATAAGTATTTACATCGGTGAGATTTTTCTCCAAAACATAATGACATCAATATATGTTCAAGTTCGAATGAAGTTCTATTTATAATAATTTGGTGCCTGATAGTAGCTTCAGGCACACACATGTCTGCAATAAATGCAAATGGTAGGGCAACATGAGAACAAGTATGCAGTGTTTTTTTAAAACGTCTAATAGACCTACTATTTTCAAAATATCTGAGATTAGCAAGACATCAAAGCCCCAGTTATTTTGTCTCCACTTCCAAAGTTTGTATGTAAGGCTAACGGATGACGGCCCTTAACAATTGGGCATTAAATATAAGAATAGGTTTTACCCTTTTTGGAATTAAAACAGTTGTGCTAAGATGTTAAAACACCTAACTGAAACCTTTTGCAAGGAATCATGTCTGCATATGCCAAATATACTTGTGATGAACATGCAAAAAAAAAACATGCTCTAATAGCATATGCATTCTTTGAAACTGATTGGTCCACACCAGAGACAGCTTTCTAGAGAGCCTAGTCTCAAGAGGACGCCAAACGGCGTCCAGCACAAAGACAATGCCACTATCAGGACATTGAGAGCTCGGGGTGAGCAGCTACATCATGGGACCTCTCTTGCCAGTATCAAAATATAAGACTAAGTTTTACCCTTTCTGGCAATAAAACAGTTGTGTTAAGATGTTAAAACACCTAACTGAAACTGATTGTTCCAGACAATGCATATGCTATCAGAGCATGTTTTTTTGTTTGCATGTTCACCATAACTAGATGTTAATGCAGACATGATCCCTTGCAAAAGGTTTCAGTTAGGTGTTTTAACATCTTAACACCTGTTTTACTGCCAGAAAGGGTAAAACCAATTCTTATATTTTGATACTGGCAAGGGAGGTCCGAAAATGGGCATTAAATGCTGAAGATATTTGCCTCCCCTGACCTACATTTTTATGGCGTTGAATTGTGGTGGCCATATGTGGCCTATTGTTTTTACCAGTCTCCAAAATTGCTATAGCTCTTAAAAGCGGGTTTATATGTCAGGCCACGTATTTAGTGATACGTCACCCAAGTTGGAAAGCACACACGTGTCCCATTGTGTGTGTGTGTGGATATAGCAGTCCAGCAGACGTGTGTGTTTGTACAAAGCTGTACAAACGAATGCAGGGGAGGAGGTGCTATGCTATGAAACGATGCGAGGCCACCGACTGGTCCTTGTGTTTGCAGAGCTGGCCACATGCTGTCCACTGCAGTCGTGCTGCGATAGTTTAACTGCTCCCCATATGGTGCACGTCAAGTTTCAGCAATAACCTCAACCCCCCCCCCCCCAACTGGGTGTTAGGCGTTTATATGGCGCGTATAAGAACCGTAGACCCTACTTGGCAAGAATACCAGCGGAGAGGAGCAATCTCCTATCCGTTTGGAAAGTTCAGAGAGCAATGCTTTGTGGAACATTATGCAATATAGTGTTCACATCCCTATCATCGTCATTGTTATCATCGTCGTCAGTGGCATATTACCATCGTTATCATCACCCTACTGTCATCACGATCATGTGTTGCCTTTCATTTGAATGTTCACTATCACACCACAGCCTTCATGCCTGGTGTTGGCCATTACAGTAGTTTGTATAGTTTACATAGGTCTTCACGTCAGTAGAGTCTCTAACATTCACATCCTTGATAACCATCTGAAATGAGTGGGATTTTAAATAATGAACTCTTATTCGCCGTATAAATTAATCAATGCGAATAAATATTTGCTATCTTATTTGGTGCCAATTTCTACTTTGGCCGACGCACTATTGTCCTTGCCGTTGACATTCTTTCACCTTCGTCGAACCATATTTCTCTCAATCATGCCCTCAACATTGTAATGCCGTCTTTTGTCTAGGACAGGGGTCGGCAACCAAAATAAGAAGAAGAAGAGCCATTTCTCTCCAATTCGGTACAAAATTCAGTATTTCAAGAGCCGCAATGCATCTATGTACATACGTACATATCGTCAAGAAGCAGCCTGTAAAGAGCCGCATGCGGCTCCGGAGCCGTAGGTTGCCGACCCCTGGTCTAGGAGATCCTTAAACATATCTAGTTCTGTTTGTTTTTGAGGACCACAAACTTGAAACGTTGTATTTTGCAGTGCATTCATGTCCCAGATGCACCGAAGTCGAAGTCTTGTCAAAATCACCAAACACATCACATTCCAAATTGGCAATGTTACTGAATAATAATCGTGTTTTTTAACCGTAAAAGCCTCGCTAAGTCGCACAGCTATTCTGCAGGAGGATTCTGCATTGGGAGGTTTGGGCAATCAAATTATGAGAGTTTGGTGTACGGAAGGCAACCAGCGTATCTGGAGTAGACCCCAGACATATGAAGGTATAATACTACAATTTCTGCACAGATGGGTTCAGTCTGTTACTGCTCTGTCATTTCCAAGTCATCTAGCAGCCGAAACCTACAACACCTGGGATGCCCTTATTACGTGGCCTGTCACAACGAGTCCTCTGTGATTATTCTGAAAAAATACATGTATTCACCTACGATTCTGAGCACTTCATTGTCGTTAATTACGTCTCAACTGCGAAGACGTTCAACGTACACACATACATACAACTGTTTGAACTGCACAAGTCACAGTGTTTAGCTTGGGGAAGTGGTGGTGCAGCAGATCGCTCACTGGGCTATAAACCTGGCAACCAAAGTTCGATAACTGGCCAAGGCTAACAACAGTGATGAGTGATAACTGAATCACCTCCTACCTCTGGCATAGTGGGTGAACCTGGTCACCAAAGTTGGTCAATCAATTCGATGGTCAATCAACCCCACGATAAGGAGACAAGATGGGTAATCCATGGGCGAAAGTCCAGTTCAAATCTCATTAAGTATCCATTGTAACAGTCCCCTAAAACACAGCCAACAATGGATGCGCTTCAAATTATAATTAGGATGAATTAATGATTACGATTCACTTAATTAATTATTGCACGTCAACAGCCTAAACACAAATGGGATGCTTCGGCTTGTGCGCATAAATTATATTCTTTAATGAATTTAGAACCAGGCTCGAGGCTATCGCGACGTTATATCTGTTTGTTCTTCTTACA